TGTCTCTCTCTGTCTCTCTCTGTCTCTCTCTCTCTCTCTCTCTGCCTGCTCCCTGTGAATCAGCATGTGAGCTCTTAGCTACTGCTCCAGCCCCAAGCCTGCCTGCCTGCTGCCCTGCTCTCCTCCATGGTGATCATAGACTAACACTGTGAAATGGCAAGCCCCCCCATTAAATCATTTCTTTTATAAGAATTTCTTTGACCATGGTGTTTCATCACAGTAATAGAAGAGCAACTAAGACGCTGTCCTTTGAAGGAGGCCCCGTAGGAGGCTGGAAGACCAGTTGGTTATCAGCACATGTCTAGGGACCTGTAATGGTTAATCTTCATTATCAACCTGACTGTATTAGAATCATCAAATTGTCATGCAATCACATCTCTGGGTGTGTCTGTGAAGGTGCTGTCGTAGATGTGTAAACGGATGGCAGACTTACCCTGACTGTGAGCAGCGCTGGAGTCCCAGACTCTATAACAAGGAGAAAGGGAACTGAGCCTGGAAGTTCAACTGCTTCCTGACTGTGGATGCAGTGTGATCAGCTTCCTCCCATGATGCACTTCATCCCTCAAACTTAAAGCCCAAAGTAACCCTTTCATCCTTCACTTGCCTTTGTCATAGCAACAAGGATAATAATTAGATGCAGAGTAAGTTGTATAATGCCTTTCTTTTACAGAAAATTCTGATGCTCTTCCTGCCTTGAATGAAGGGATATAAACACCACTCACCATGTGCTAGTGAGTGTACAAATGGAGGCCAGTGTTTTAGTGCCTGTGCTAACGTCTCCTTAGTCACGTCTCCTTAAAGGACTGTGTGCTTATGACGTGCTAAAGCTGTAGCCAGACAAATTAGACTGGAACTGAGATAGTGAGTCTGCAGAGTAAGCATTTGAGAACTGGCTCCAGGCTAACCAGTGAGAGAAAAGAGCCCAATACCTCTGAACCATTAGAATCTGAACTGCTCTGTTAGCTCTTTTGGGGGCCAGGGTCCTAACTACTGTAGCAGGACAGGAGAATGGAGAGAAAGCAGGACACCTGGGAAGGAAGAGCTGTAACTGACATGTGCATGGTATGTGATTGTCTAGGTAGCACATTTGAAAAGACAGACGCAACCCAAAGCCCAAAAACTAAGTAACAATTCTAACAGGCTTTCAGGATGTAAGACATACTTTATAGAAAAGACAAAATTATTTTTCTATATATTGACAATGAACAAATAGAATTTGAAGTTAGAAACTATTGTTTTGTACATGGTTTGTCTTTTATAAAACTTATTCTCAAATTCAACTTCCAATATAATGTCATCTGCGAGTGTGTGTGTGTGTGTGTTTGAGAGAGGGGGGGAGGAGAAGGCAGGGCAAGAGAGAGAGAGAGAGAGAGAGAGAGAGAGAGAGAGAGAGAGAGAGAGAGAGAGAAGTGTATGCCTGTCTATGTGAAGGCGAGGAGTTGATGTTGACTGCCTTTCCCTGTCACTCTCTACCTTGTTTTCTGGGGCAGGGCCTCTCATTGAACAGGGAGCAGTGAGCTCCAGGGATCCTCATGTCTCTGCCTCCCAACACTAGGATCACAGGGGCACACCTTTATGCCTGCCATTTTATGTGATTGTGCTGTCTCTTCATAACAATAAAACCCTAATGAAGACAGCAAGTAGCATGCTTCTGTTAGCCCAGCTACCACAGTGGTATCCTCTAGACAAGAGAATAGGAAAGAGGTAATGGCTGTGGTAGCAGATGAAGTTAGTTTGTGGCCCTGATGCTTCAACTCTTTACTACTTTGGTTATTTGGGTCAAATACCAAGGCTTAATCATTTCCAAGCATTGTAGTTTCAAATACAATCTCACTGTACAGCCCAAGAGAAAAGCAGGATGCTGAGCAAAGGAATAAAGACCAATGGGAAACAGACTCATTCATGTGGAAACTCTTTCAAAAGAGTGCAGTGCTGGGCCTGTGCAACAAGGAACCCGGCTACAGAGTACCAGTGTAGCAAGGATTTCCACCGTCACTCCTCATCTTTGCAGTATAAAGGGCAGAATACACACCCTGGGAATTTCCTATCGATACTAACCATGTGGAAGGGAGAAGGAACACCAGTCCTCCAGAGCCAGGATTCTTTACATGTTGACATAGTTACCAACTGTCATTGAGTAATTGGAGAAAGCTGCAGACTCTTTCCTCAGAAAAATGTGTGCAAGCACATACCGCATGCACATAGAATAAAAGGAACCTTTTGGTTATTCATTTTACTTCCAGTGACAGATCTTTACAGATGCTCCAGTAAAAAAAAAAAAAAAAAAGTTATTGACCAATGGAGCAAGTACCCGAGGCATTTCCTGTGTGGTCAAAAATGCATGCGCTGAGGATAAAAGTAGATAAGATATTGGTATCCATTAACCTGAGTTCTGTGACAGCAATTCTTAACCCTAGCAGAACATTTAAATTTTGTGGGAGAAGGAAGGAGATTTAAAAATATTCATGTCTGGGCTCCACCTTAGAACAGCTGAAGGAAAACGAAGAGTCAGGCCTAAGCATCTGTATCACTTACAAGCTCTTTAGATGAGCCTAGTATGGCAGACGGAGTGCTGTCATTGACAGCATCATCATTGACGGCAGAGGCTGCCAGCCCTTTAATACACTTCCTCATGCTGTCGTGAACCCCAACCACAAAATTATTTTCATTGCTGCTTCCTAGCTGATATGAACAAGTTTTGCTACTCTTATACACCTTAAAGTCAACATCTGTGTTTTCCATTGGTCTTAGGCAACCCTGTGAAAGGGTCGTTCTCACAAGCCACAGGTTGAGAGATAGAGAGTAGAATCCTCAAATATGACTGCCCAGTCTCTGTAAGAGTTAGAGATTATAACAAAGGAGCTTCACAGGTATGGGTGGCTCTCTCTTCAGGGCTAATTTAGGTGCTCACCTGTGTCTGGTGTAAATGTCACTTTTATTTCCTCAGATGAATTGGAGAGATGAGAGCCATATCCAAGCTTTATGGATACATGGCTGAGCCATGAACATTTCTATCTAACTATCCCTAGGCCTAGGCCTGGAAACTTCTAGTCGTACAATCTAATCTGCAAGCCTGGACCCTGAAGACTTCAGTTCCAGCCTCCATCTCCTCACCTAGACCTAGAGTGTTTCAGCTTCTGAGACTTACTGCTGAATAAACCACTCTTTCCAGCTCCTTCTGAACTCTGGCTGGCTGATTCAACTCAGCTGTTCTGGCTCAAACTCCTCTCCAAGATGACTGATTCAAATTGGCTTCTCTGGGCTTTTGACTGAATGACTCTGCTTGGAAAGACTGCTTGTGAACTCCACGAACTGAAATGCTCCACAAAGAGCTCAACTGAGCTGACTGAATTCTCCCCCACTGCTCTTCAAGTAGCCTCTCTCTCCTGTCCTCATGAAAGTTGGGCATATCCTATCTCTGACTCATTCTGTCAAATCTTTCTCTGATTTGTCACTTTGTCTGCCCTCAATTAAGACATCATTGTTTGGGATTAAAGGTGTGTATTTCAGTCGAAAGGATTAAAGGTGTGTGATATGTCTGCATTCCAGCTGGATCATATCTTTGGATCTGATTCCTTGCCAGAGCAGCCATGTTGCTGGATTAAAGTTCCTTTACAGGCTGGGAAGGAGGAAGGGGGCGGCACATAATGCATGCCTGTCAGAATTACTCAAGGGGAGATTTTTCCAAAGGACACACAGCCTGGAGACAGGAATCAGAGTGCAAATGAATTGAGGATGAATATGTAGAAAACGCTTAATTCTCAGATACCATCTTCACCTAAGCTCAGAATCAACACGAACAGGGAATTGCTTGGGTACTGAACCAGATTCCTTGGGCTCATTGCTACAGCGGTGACCCTTAACTAGTCAGAGGCAATTTCTAAGTGCCCCAAACAGAGCTGGCAGGGAGGGGGCAGGGCATGATTAGATAATGAAAGTATGTAGGTGCACACCAGGGCAGGTGGGCATGACAAAAACATGCCCTGCTCACTTTGTAATGTTGCCCAGGGCTGGGTCCATGCCCTGTGACTGAAGCCAAGTTTAGAGGCACAAAACTGGAACAGTTTCCAAATTGCTTGTTTTCCCCTTACCTCAGGCACACGTGTGAGTCCTGAAACTTGCAGGTGCTGCCCTGCCAACATGAAAACACCAAATGAAACTATATCTGGGTAGCAGAGATGACTCACGAGGCTGGCAGAGGTCTGAGAGACTACCCTGACTGGCCAATGGCAGGGAAGAGTAGGGGTGTATGCATAGGCATCAGAAGCCAAGGTTGCTGAAGGAAGCACCCAACAACTCTCCTTGAGGGTGTGAATAGATCTAACTCCGCTCAACAGGATAGACTTCAGAGCTATTAGATGTCTCTACTCTCTCTCTCTCTCTCTTGTCTCAGTCTGTTTGACTTTCCTTGATTTGTAGAATTCACAGGCCTAGGCTGCTACTTATGGCCATGTGGATTGAGGTGGCTCAACTCCCGTGACAGTGATGCAGGAGTGTGACTCATTGTATTCCACTGTTCTGTACAAAAGTCAGGGTCATTTGCAATGGTTGTCTGTGGAGGGTTGGGATGGAAGAAAGTCGGTGAGCTCTGGTCCAAAGACTGAAGGAATTTGCCTGGGAATTCTCTGAGGGTTTCTGGAAGTCAATAGTAAGCATTGAATGTAAAGGAGAATATTATGGATGTGTGGTATGGTTGTGTGTGTGTGTGTGTGTGTGTGTGTGTGTGTGTGTATGTGTGTGTGTGTGTATGTGTGTGTGTGTGACTTAATGTTGTCTTTCTGGATATAGGAGGAGGGTAAAAGAGCAGAGACAGTCTTCATTGGTTTATCATATTAATTTCAGATAAATACCAGGACGAGCATGGTTCCCACTTTCATAGTTGACCTGTGCAGAAATTAGTTATCATGGCTTTATATTATTTAAAGTGGAGACAAGCTCACAGCCTGCTTTCTCACCTGGACTGCCCAGTGGAGAGCTGTTTTAAAGTCCTTGTCCACAAGGGTAGGGTCTGCCCCCTTCTTCAACAGCATTTGGGTGTGTTGAGGTCGGTTGTGGAAAGCTGCCCAATGGAGTGGTGTCATCCCCTGAAATACAATGATCAGAGAGGACAGAAATGAACACAGGCTCCTAAGAGGAAACAAGATACAGTCTTCGGAAAACACACGCATTGCTGTTACTTTGTTACTTCGTTCATTCATTAAAAGGTTTGCTCAAGGGTTAATTGATGATGAACTTTCTGCCAAGTTAGTAGGTGTTGAGGATACTAAAGTGAGTATAAAGATCAGGATGCCTGGCCTCATGGGGGTTGGGCTGTGTTAAAATAAAGGAAGACAGTGAATGCACACGGAGGAATCGGGATTTCCCTGACTGGCAGAGACCACGCAGAGCATAACCAAGAGAGGAAGGTCTGTTCTAAAACAGGCTTTTGTGAGATGGGTTGAAGGAAGAGGGATGCCAGCACCAAGCCACATAGCTGAGGACATTCACAGGGACAGCATTTGAGACAGCAATCATGGAAGAATATAAACCTCCAACAAGTCCTACACACTGTGTGACTGCTGAGGTCCCAGTGCCTAGAACAGAGGCTGTGCTGTGAATGAATGAATGAATGAATGAGTGAATGAACAAGTAGAGAAGAGGAGAGGAGAGGAGGAGAGGGGAGGGGAGGGGAGGGGAGGGGAGAGGAGAGGTGAAATCCAAGATAGGCTGATTCTGGGAGGCCGGTAGGAATACCAGTCCTGCATAAAGCATTTGGATTTTATTTCACGTCAGTGGAAACACAGTGGTGGATTTCAAGTGGATGTTGGAACGATCTGATTTACAGTGTTATGAGGAACTCCTGGGAGAATGGAGCTAGCCGAGTCTATCTGACGCAGCTCCGCCTCTCTGAGAACTGAAGGTCATATAGTTAAGGGATGACCTGATGGCAAGTGATTTCATGCTGGGCAAGGGTAGCCTCAAGAAACAGCGGTATTTGGGAGTATGACAGGAGAGATGGCCTCTCCCTGATCACACCTCTCACCTGCATGAAAACATTCAAAGTGAACTGAGTTTAGGATTCCCGAGGAAAGGCCAAGGCACAGGGAAGCTTTGGAGTTTCTCTTCTACAGTTATTCCTGAAGACAGCATGAAGACAGAGTGAGTAATAGGCCCACTCTGCTGCATAGGATGAGCTGGGTGTAGGTGACAACCCTTGATCTGGTCACCCCAGAGTATTTATTGATCCAGAAATTCGTAAGAGTTCTTACAGCTGTTATCTTACTTCATCCTCCAAACCACCTTCTGGTGTAAAGGCTATGGAAATCTCTCCCCATGTTCTCAAGATATTTCTTCTTCTCCTAGGACATACAATCAGACCACGTTCTAAGCTCTCTACACCTGGGTCAGCCATGCAACTGAGTTCTAACCATTGGAAAATGAACAGAAGGCACAAAGACTCCCTTGAAGCCTGGTCTAGAAAGCATACCTTTCTCCACACCTGTTTTCTCTTCTCATCTCACTGAGTGTGGAGGAGGACAGGGCTGTAGACGAGGATGGGACCACACCACTGCGAAGCCCAAGACCCTAACTGAAGACAGATCATCAGAGAACAGATCCACCTCACCAATCATCATCATCATCATCATGATGAGAACCAAAATGTATTGTCTTATGCCCGAACATCAATATTTTGTGTCACCAGAGCAGCTAGCGAACCCTGATCTCTGCCATTGTCCTCTAGAAGAAGAAATAGCCCTAGTGAAGTGTTCAAGTCTAGTGAGAGCACAACTGAGCCCAAGGTCTAAGGACTGTGGAACACTGGGCTTCGGATGCTAAATCTCCTCAACCTGTGTCATATTTTAAATCTCTAATTCATGGTGCATTTGCAGGTTTCAAGTTTCAAGAGTCCTCTAATATTGAGCCTCTAGAGCTGGTCTTGGGGCTGTTTAATAAATTGATTCCATGTGAAAAGGAATATTGACCTAAAGACATTGGGGCTTGTCTACTTGATACAACTGCTGCATTTTCTCATGGAATGCAGAGTCACTCTCCAAGTTTCTATGGATCTTCTTCATTTTCAGTTGGGCCACTGGGATTAAAATTCCAAGCACAAGGAAACCGGATTCTTTTTATTTTATTTCACATTGATCACTCCTTCTCTAATGAGATCCTGTTTCAATCACTGGCTTCATGATAGCTGGGCTCTTGTCCGCCTGTCTAAATCCTGAAAGTTCTGAGCAGTGTTGCGACCACTGCAGTTGCTAAGAGAAGGCTACTTATTAAGTAAATGAATGACTTCTACCTGCTCTTGACTACGTTTCTTGATTTTTGCACAATTTGGCTTTGCCTTGTATCGATTTGTATTTTTGTGTGTGTGGTATATGCTCGTGTGTGTACTCGTGTGTATGTGGGTGAAAATGTATATGAATGTGAGTGTATGTGAATGTAGAAGCCAGACGTTGATGTCCAGTGTCTTCCTGGGTTGTTTTCTACCTAACCTTTGAAACAATTGAAGTTGTACCTCACTGAATTTCCTGGGCTTGCTGGCAGGTGAGTGCCAGGGACCCACCTGTCTCTGCTTCTGTAGCACTAGGTTCACATTGTACTTGGCTTCTTATGTGGTCCCAAACTTAGGTCCTTAAGACTGAGCAGAAGGATTTTGATGGCTGAGCCACTTTCCCAGCCCCAGCTTTGCATTTTTAGATACACATAAGAAGATATAGAATGAATTCTCCATACAAAATAAACTTGTTTGATGCTTGCTGTTGCCAACTTATCAGTCCGCACTTCAGAATCTTTTGGTGAGTGTTTCCAAAAGATCTCATTCTTAGAACTACTATTAACCGAGGAGATGGCTCAGTTCATGAAGTGCTTGACTCAAAAGCAGAAGAAACTGAGTTTGGATCCCCAGCAGCCATTCTAAAAAGCCAGGCCTCGCAGCAGGCATTTGTAACACCAACATTGAAGAGATGGAAGGAGGAGGATCCCGGAGCTTGCTGGCCAGTCAGTCTAGCTGAATTGGTGAGCCTCAGGCTCACCGAGATACTCCCATCTCAAAAACTAAGGTGGAGCCCAACTGAGAAAGGCATCCAATATTGACCTCTAGCCTCTGCATATGAACACACATACATAAAAGCATGAATGTACACACACACACACACACACACACACACACACATACACACACAAGGAAATGTGCAATAGATAGCAGTGACTGTATAAAACTGTGACTTAAACACAGGGGAATTCACTGAAAACATGGTTGTAAATAACACTGTGGTTATGCAAGGCTAGCAATTGTGACCTACTTGGACTTGCTACACTGTAAACATCATTCTTTTAAAACAATAAAACATCCAAGGGCAACTCCTGCACGCTTTGGTAAAGGAGTAGGACAATAAGAATGTTACTATGTTTTAAAAACATTTATTGATTTATTTTGTTTGTTTGTTTTGTGCCAGAACACATGTGGAAGTCAGAGGACACCTTGTAGCTTTGGGTTCTTTTTCCTGGATAGATCTCAGGCTGCCTGGCCTGCTGGCAAGCACCTTTCCTGCTTAGCTATTTGGCCAACACAAATGTTAACTTTGTACACCTATTTGGCACCAAGAAATCTGTGTGTATCATCTCATTGAATTTTTACAGTGGCCCTAAGGATAGGAATTTTAGAATAATTTTTAAAGAGAGGAAGCTGAAGTAGACAGGTTAAGCAGTTTACCTAAGACACTGGCTGAGTACTCCGTAAGGCTGGAATTCAAATCTATGTGTCCGTGGTTCTGGAGAAAAATGATTTTCATCATATTGGTAGATTTTTATGCTTAGAAAGGAACTCAGGTGCTAGGAAACTGTGGTGTGTGTGTGTGTGTGTGTGTGTGTGTGTGAGAGAGAGAGAGAGAGAGAGAGAGAGAGAGATCTTAGATGATTCAAGTCTTGTCACTTTACGCAATGGTAGTTCTCACTAGGGTACAGGTTGTCTCCTATAGTATTAGCTGTGCTATTTGCCTCTAGGTTTCTTCTAAAAGCTAGTAACACTTTAGAAATGACTCCTTTGTTGTTTTTGAGACAGTTTCTGTGTGTAACCCTGGCTATCCTAGAACTCACTCTGTAGACCAGGATGGCCTCCAACCTCCCTCTGCCTTCCAAGTGCTGGGATTAAGGGTGTTTGCCACTATTGCCTGGATAAGGTTAATATTTTAAATGTAATTTTTACCCTGCTTTCGTTGGTTAGAAAAGCAGTTAGGCATTGCCAAACCTTCATCTGCAGCAGTTCACTCTGGAAGAATAGTAACTGGCCTCTTCTCGTTTCCCCTTTTAAACTGAGTGTTGGGATTAAAGGCGTGGACAATTACTCCTGGCTAGAAATAACTCTTTTCAGCCACCAACTATGACTTGCCTTAACTTCCCTGAATATTATTACATTGTAAACATTTGTAAACTTTCAGTCAAGAGAAATTTCCTGTTGCTTCCCCCTCTACCCCCACCCCCAAAGCTGAGCTAATGAGAAATAAAAATAAATCATCCTCATAGCATTCAAAGCTTTCAAAAGCTCATGGGGAAGCGGGGTAAGTCATTCAGGCAGCTGGGCAGCCACAGATATTGTGCAAGCCATCCTCCAGGAGCATTTTTTTCTACAACTGCTTCCTCCTTTCCTCAGTTTCTGTGGAGCCTGCAGGCGGTCAGGCTGCGCTGGTGAAGGCTCTGGGGACTATATACAGACAGGCTTCATTCAGGCTTGGAGGCTGGTCTGTGCTAAGCAGTGGTAGACATCACAATGGAAATGGGAAACATGTAAATGTGTAAGCGGCCTATGGTACCAGGGACACAGCCAGCATTCAAGATATGTTTTCTAGAAGTAGTGAATTCCAGCTTCTCAAGAATCTCTAGACACAGGGAGTACGGAATCTATTGGATGTGAGATGGCTACCCTCATCTGCTTTTCCCTCCATCTGTCTTCTCGGCTCCATTGAGGGTTTAGTTGGACCACAGAAACATTCAGGAGGTGAAAACTGAAGAGTCATAGACATGGTGCACAGAAGTCCCCAGATGGCCTTGGTGACAGTGGAATTCCATTTTTATGAAAAATAAACAGACATCAGTTCAAAGTTAGGAATATAAGCTCTCCAGAATGCGTTTCTTTGACATAGGGTGTGTCTTGATGTTCTCGGAGGACTCAGTGCTGGTTGTAGCTGGTGGTACACAGGAAGGCCGTTGTGAAACAGCACTCTTATACGGATGAGTAACCCTGTGTCCTGAGCCCAGGATGTGCCATTTCAGCATCTGCTTAGCTGACAGGTACTAAAAGAATCTCAGATCTCCCCCTCTGGCAACCGTTGCTTTTTTTTTTTCTGAACCAGAAATCAGATTCGTGTGAAGCAATTTTACTACCTCTCTTAACACTGAAGCATGCAGAGAGTGATGTTGGTGTGACCACATGAAGCTCTGGGCTTGTCCTAGGGATTCAGAGGACAGAACAATAGCAGGGAGCTGAGAGATCCACAGAACATCCCTACTCCTTGAAGGGTCTAGAACGGCAAGGAAGCTCAGCCTCACCCTCCCTCGTTGATATTTAAAAACTGAATGAAAAAAATGAGGCCATGACTGTTCCTAGACATGAACTGAGAAGCTTTACTGTGTATGAACTGGACCATGAGAGAGGGGGAGGGGAGAGAGAGAGGAAGAGAAGAAAGACGGTGGGTAAAAGGCAGAAGCGTGCCAGGTGACCAACCAAGAGGCTAGGAGGCTGAGTGTCCAAAACGGCTGAGGTTATGCAGGAAAGAGAAGCTGGGGGCAGGGAAGGGGAAACCTATCCATGCAGCAAAACACGAGTAAGAATTTCTTGGTCTTGAATCTATAGGATGTTTTTGAAAGATGCTAAGTGATAGAAAATATTCGTTTTTGGGAATAGATGCTGGAAATAAATAAATTTGATTATTTTAAAGTATGTGTGTATGTATGTGTGCAAGAGAGAGACGTGCATACCAGTCACTGTCTGAGGAGGCCAGGGAAATTCAGTTCCCTGACACTGGATTTATAGGTGATTATGAGTCACCCTGACACGGGTGCAGGGGACTAAGCTTCAGACTCCTGCAAGAGTAGTACATACTCTTAATCACTGAGCTATCTCTCCAGGAAAAACTCTCTCTCTCTCTCTCTCTCTCTCTCTCTCTCTCTCCCTCTCCCTCTCCCTCTCCCTCTCCCTCTCCCTCTCCCTCTCCCTCTCCCTCTC